CTGGTGGCCGCGGCCGCCGCCTCCGTGCGCCAGAGCCCCGGGCCGGTCCTGGCGCGCCTGGAGGGCCGGGAGTTCGAGTTCCTAATGCGACAGCCCAGCGTCACCATCGGCCGCAACTCGTCGCAGGGCTCGGTGGACCTGAGCATGGGCCTGTCGAGCTTCATCTCCCGGCGCCACCTGCAGCTCAGCTTCCAGGAGCCTCACTTCTATCTGCGCTGCCTCGGCAAGAACGGTGTCTTCGTGGACGGGGCCTTCCAGAGGCGGGGAGCGCCAGCCCTTCAGTTACCCCAACAGTGAGTGCGGCGCCACCCCCGGGTCAACCCTCTCCGGATCTGGTCTCAATCTCCTGGCTACCCGCTGATCTCGACCTCGCCCGGCCTGGTCCCTTGTCACCCCCTGATCTCGACCTTGTCCGGTCTGAACCCCTGGTGACCTCCTGAGCTTGACTCCTGGCCTGGCCTCTGGGTCGTTCCCCAATCCCATCTCGTTTTTGCTAGGTCCTAGCCCCTGGTCACTCCCTACCCCATCTCGACCTGCCAAGAACTAGCCCCTCCAATCTCGACTCCACCCGGCTCTGATTACCTAAGTCATCTCCAGTCTTGACCCCACCTACCTCTGACCCGTTGGTTACACTGATCTCGATCCCACCTGGCTCCGACCCCCTGGCTACCTGGTTTCTTCACCCAGCTAAGCCTGATCCTTAAGTTACTGGTGATCTAGACCTTCACCTGGCTCTGACCCCGTGGTTATCTTGATGTTAATCACGACCCAACTAAGCCTGACCCCTGCCTGTTAACTCACTGGGTCCTGATTCCTGGGCGGGCCCTGATTGACTGGTAGGGCCAAACCCAGACCCAACTCAGCCTGAAACCCTCTGTCACCCCGACCCTGGACAGTCCTAAACACTGGGGTCCACTCTAAACCCCCTTCCCCTCTCTCTCTCTCTCTCTCTGTCTCTCTCCAACACACACACACACACACACACACACACACACACACACACACACACACACACTCTTTCCATGAGGAGGCAGGATGGTTGTCAGATGGGTGCAGTAGATGCAGGCTTGCATCTTACAGATCCCTCTCTTTCCAACACACACACACAC